CCACAAAGGGACTCTATCAGTTCATGTCATGGAAAAGTCTAGGGTTTGCAGAGGCATGCAGCGGTAGATGAACAGAGAAGTGACGTGTCCGTGGACCATGATGAAGCTGGAGGAGAGGAGAGTTTTGTTATCAAGAATGATAATAGCCAGCGCTTCCTTAGGGGCTAGTCCAGGCCAGGCTGGGAGGGGGCATGGTACATCCCTCACTGAGTCAATCCTTCCATCAGTGCCGGAGTCCAGGGCAGGTGGTGATGCTGCCAAGGCCCACATTTTCTCGGTCAGCTCTATCTTTGCCTTTTTCTGGAACTCTTTTGCTTCTGGCATGACAGACTCTTGACTTAAAACGAGACTTGTTTTCTGCTCTGCTGGGTGCCATAAATATTTTCATCCCAAACTACTAAAAGTTGCTTCTTTACTGGTTGCAAAGTTTCAGAAAGAAAATTTTCCTCTCCTGTGAAATATGTGGTTTTTGCAAAGCACCCTGAGGCTCCCATCATGCTGAGCAATAGCACGGGCAACTTTTGCCTGCTGTGCAAGGCATTTCTTGGGGAAGATTATGGTGAATAGCTTCAGTACAACCTGGGCCTGGCCCTTGGCCACCCCTGGGCACCCAGAGATGAATGTTCCAGCTGAGATGAGCCCACACCCTGGTGTGGGAGACAGGGTACCAGTGCCCTCAGTTGACAGGTGCATAATGGCCTTTTGCTCTAGGTCAGGTGTCACATGAGACTGTGACACAGACCCACCCTGCCTTCATGGAGTGTAAATGCTAATGAGAAGAGAGAAATCATAAATAAATAGCTGCACAAAACAATTTCTAGTTAGAAACTATGATAAGTCTCTTCAAAGGAAAAGTAAAGAGTGTGAGGAGATGTGATCAAATTGGGAGGGGATCTGATTTAGATTTTAGGGGCTAGGGAGGGCCTTTCTAAGGAAGAGAGCTTTCAGCTGAGGTTTCAAGCATAGGTAAAAGTGGGCTAGCTTAAAGTGGGGAGAAGAGCATTTCAGGTTGAGGGCACAGTTCATATGATGGCTTGGAGTAGGGGAATGGGGAGCATCAGAGGGACAAAGCTCAGCCGGGGGGCTGCAGCATGGTGAGCAGGCTGTGGGGATGGGAGAGGCCAAGATCCATTGGGCCATGCACTACAGGCACATCTAGGTTAGGCCATTTGATATTGTCCTGACCCTCTGTTCAATTTTTCTTTCAGCCTTTTTTCTTTCCATGCTTCCATTTGACATTTTCTATTGTTCTGTATTTAAGTTCACTCATCTTTCTTCTGTAGCATCTTATCAGCTAAGCCCATCCAGTGATTTTTCATTTCATATTTGTACTTTTCAGTTCTAGAGTACCCATTTGGATAGAGTCTCCATGTGTCTATTAAGATTCTTTATTCATTCCCTCATTAAGTTCATATTTTCCTTGAAATCCTTGAGTACCTTTGTAATAACTAATTTCAAGTCTTTGGCCAATTCCATTATCTATATCCATTTTGAGCCTTCTATTAGCAGCTTATTCTACTGGTTACAGGCCACATATTTCTGCTTTATCTATCTAGTAATTTTTATTATATGCTAGACATTATACATTCTGTGTTTTTGAGTGTATGCTGTTGTTTTCCTAATAGAGTGTTGAGCTTTGCTCCAACAGGCAGTTAGTTTACTTGGGGATCAGCTTGACCTTTTCAAGGCTTATTTTAAGCTTTGTTGGGATGAGGCTGAGGCAGCCCTTAACTGGTAAGACTAGTTTAGGTCTACTTCTAAGGCATGGCTTTTCTGCAATTTCTACTTAATGCTTGTGGCGTTCAAAAAGATCTCTCTCCTCCAGCTGCTAGGAACTCACACATCTTCCAGCCCAGTCCTGTGTAATATCTGGTGGTTGTTCAGCTCACAGCTCCCTAAGACTTCTTTTTCCTGAAAGTTATATTTTGCTCTGCCTCATAGTGTCTTTCTCTGCACATATGAAGTTTAGGACTTAGCCAAAGTCCATTTTTTTTTTTTTTTAAAAGATGACCGGTAAGGGGATCTTAACCCTTGACTTGGTGTTGTCAGCACCACGCCCAGCCAGTGAGCGAACCGGCCATCCCTATATGGGATCCGAACCCAGGGCCTTGGTGTTATCAGCACCACACTCTCCCGAGTGAGCCACCGGGCCGGCCCCAAAGTCCATTTTTTGAAGCTCCTTCTCTACACAGCTTACTTTCTCTGGTACCCTGCCATGCAAATTCCTGAGGGAACCTCAGTAGCCCTGAATTACAATCTTTACCTCCACAATTCAGAAAGTCCCTCCAGGCAGAAAGCCAGAGTGATTGTGAGGCTTACCTCATTTGCTTCTTTTCTCTCAGGGATCACGGTAAATTTTATATATTTTATCTAGTTTTAGAGTTGTTTATAGCATGAGAGATAATCTGATACAAGTTACTCTACCATGGCTAGAAGCAGAAATCCCATTCTTTGGTATATGATTACCCTCACATCTTTACACATTCCAAAAGCAATATACAGTAATATTTCCCATGTATTTAAATTTTTTACTTAAGTGGCATTACATTGTTCATATTCTTCCACATCTTCCTTTTTGACTCAACTATTTTTTAAAATCTATCCACATTGCTATATTTATTCAGTCACTTAAATATTTTAGTGTTTTTGAGTGTCTGTTAAGGGCAAGGCACTATTCTAGGCACTGCACATACAGTTGTACAGTTGAACTTAATACTTAAACATAAGGCCTTCCTCTTAAGGTATCCAGCAAGATGGGAGGAAAACCAGGAGAGTGTGGCATCTTAGAAGCCAATGAAGGAAAGTGTTTGAAGAAAGGAGTGATCTACTGTATTCAGTACAACTGAGTGGGTACCTGTAGGCATCATCAGTGACATAAAGAGATTCAGTTAATTCATTTTAACTGCTGCATAGTATTCCATCACATGAATAGAGAAGGTTCATTCCTCTATCTCCCACCACTTAGGTGAATATTTGCAGTGAACAATCTTGAACATGTCACCAATTTGAGCACATGTGGGCAAGTTTTGGACCTATCTAGGGATGGAATCACTAGGTAGGTCATTAGGAAAGATGTGCATAATTCCAACTTGACAAGACAGTGCCAAATTGCTTCTCCAAATGGTGGTACTTGTGGCTAGTCCTATCTTCAGTGTTCAACAGACCCCAGAGCTTCACACCCTCACCGACGTTTGTGTGATTGTTACTTCAATTTGCATTTTCCTGAGGTTGAGCACCTTGGCCATTTGGGTTTTCTCTTATGTGATCTACCTGTCAATATTCATTGCCCAGTTTTCCTTGGAGTTTTAAGCAATGTTTCCCTATGCTGATGTCATGAAGATACTTGCCTGTACTTTGTCCTGAGACTTTTAGAGTTTGTTTAAAGTACACTTCTTCACATTAATGCTAATGCATTAATGTTAGTGCAGCACGAGGTAGGGATTGGTGTTTTGTTTTGGTTTTTTCTATTGGGAAAGCCAGATGTCCTAACCTCTCCAGCCTTTTGCTACTGACCTGGACTGCTATCACCTTTC